TATATATGCAATTTTATATATATTATTTAGAGATTATATATGCGCGGTAATTATTGGAAAGCGCGACATAATTGCAAAATTCAATACAGCGACCAATTGCTTACGTATGCACGCAACGACGAATGGACGCATATATACGCCCAGTGCCAATTCATGAATTGGATCGTATTTACGATTCCAATGAAATAAATTATGACCATGGAATATTAGTGTTTAAGCCTTTTTTTTTATATATATATATATATATATATATATATATATATATATATATATATATATATATATATATATGTGTCTGTGTGTTGTGTGTGTATATATATATATATATATATATATAGAGAGAGAGAATTAGAAAAAATATATATAGATAGTATAGATTAAATCAGATATATATGGATATAGTTATTTCATTTTATTCGGACTTTTGAGCTCACCTTCGTTACTAAATTCACGACGTATCCGGCCTTCTTCAAGTGATTGATTTCAAACTGATCCCTTTATTTAATACATTAGTAGATTTTACTAGTTCCACCTGCCATGCCTCTCCTGGACATCTCACTATCAATTATTTCCATTCAATTCATTCCACTATTTTTATTTTTGTTGTTCACCTCAGCTGTAGCGAAGTACTGAACACACAACTATTTGAGTAAAGTCATTGAATTCAAATAACGCCTTTATCTACTGCGCCATGTTTCTTTTGATATAATACAATTTATTATTATTATTATTATTTTGTTTTTGTTTTTACTGTAGTTGCTTTATTTAAATGATAACATCACACTGTTAAAAGATCTCAAAAATATATGACCGAAATATAAGGCCTGGTAAAAAAAAATGTTACAGTAATAAGAAGTTGTAATAATAAGGCATGTCCTTTCAGTAATGAATACTGGTTCTCTGATACAATCGTCCATTAGGTAATCATCTGATGGTCACATGATAGGTTATTGGTGAATAGAACCATATGTGGGCATCTTTAATTTAATGATTGCCAGTGCCTCCTGTCCACCGTTCCTTTCCAAGGCTTGTAGAGTATTGGTCACTCTTTAATTATGTTTATTAATTCATAATTCTTCATAATTCATTTATGATGTCATCACAATACGTTTTAAATAATGCCATTCCTGTGTTTTCTTGATTCTGAACATTGTTTATTCATTGGATTCATCTTAAACAATTCTATCATCATAGCAGTAAAGCAATTCCTGCAATGTCGATTAAATATTACCAAATGGTATATTGCGTGCCTATTCCTGAAATTGAGAATCAGTCTAACATTTGACTTAATTAGTAAACGCTTTGAATGTAAGCGCCATACTAGACATGCGACAAGGTTTCATCAATTTACAGTAGAGTTGGCTTGATATAACCGTAAGTTCTACGCTATCAGTTTTTTTCTCGTACTTCTCGCTTGTGGAACTTCCTTTCGGCTCCATGCGTTCTAGCCAACTTTAATCTTCAAGAATTTAAATGCAATCTCAATCACCCTCTACTGTGATTCTGATTAATCTTTTTTTCCCACTCCTAAGTAATTTTACTGCTTTCTAATTCTTCCACATAGACACCAAGCTTTTCTGTCTTAGTTGCTTTACTGCCTTGTTTTAAAATTAAATATATATATATATATATATATATATATATATATATATATATATATATATATATATATATATATATATATATATATATATATATATATATATATATATTATATATATGTAAGTTTATATAATATATATATATATATATATATATATATATAGGACATATATATATATATATATATTAGTATATATATAAGTATATATAATATATATATATATATATATATAGATATATGTATATATTTATATATATATATGCATATATATACATATATATATATATATATATCTGTGTGTGCGCGCTAGTTAGTAAAGTGCTCAATATCTGTGATAGAGCTAACATATTCAGTTATATGGATATGACTTTTTACACTCATAATCATACAACTTTATATATATATATATATGAATACAGAATATATATATATATATATATATATATATATATATATATATATGAATAAAAAATATATATATATATATATATATATATATATATATATATAAGGAATATATATATATATATATATATATATATATATATATATATATATATATATATATATGAGGAAGACAGAATTAGGTCAGGATATAATTTAATTTATAGAATTCATCCATCTATCTCTTCAGATCAGTTTTACATAAATAAATGAAGTTTAATTTATTCAGACACAAGAAAAAAAAATAAGAAAAAAAAAACAAAGAAAAATAGAGAAAAGAAAAAGGAAAAGTTTTAATATTAAAAGTTGAAAGAAAAAATGTGGGAGAAAGACAGAGATTTCAATATAAGGTTTGTTTAGGGGGAGAAAGAGAGATACGGGGAGAGGAAATAGTAAAGAAAGTGAGAGAGGGAAAGAAACAAAAGAGAGAAATAAGCAAGCCGACTGGGTGACCCAGATTTTTTTTTCTTCCGGCTCTTGACAATTTAAAAGTCAGGGTGGAAGAAGAAAAGTGATCATATTCAAAATATCGAATTTTTTCCTGCTAATCATCAATGATATTACACACACACACACACACATATATATATATATATATATATATATATATATATATATATATATATATATATATTTATTATGCCCTATTTCCCTCTGTTCTTCTTGCATTCAATCTGCCCTGTGAGTACCAAATTTTCCGAGCACTCTTTCTACCTTATGTGCCCTAGAAATTTCAACTGTCTCTTCATCATGTTAGGTATGAGTTTTTGATTCCATTTTCTCTGAATCCTCGCCGTTGCCCACCTGCTTGTTGCATTTAGTTGATTTTGTTTAGCGGCCTTTCAACCTCTGTGGCTTATTTAATACTAAAATCTAAATATTTTGAACACAATTGTAAATGCAGATAAAATATATTACTTTTCATTTTAGCATAAATATGTAGTTGGTAAATTTTTCTACATAAATATATATTGCTGGTATTTTTTAATATAAATATATATTTTTATACTTTTGTCTTTCGTTTTTTGTTTTGGGGTTCATTATTTGCCCATAACTTGGACCCTAAGAGGAGCTACCAACCTGGGTCAAAATTGAACCACAACAATTTTGGAGAGATTCCACACTTCTCAAAAGATCCAATATCTCGATGAGAGGCCTTGCTGCTGGGTGTAGGTTATCGTCATAACCAGAACTATTTTCGATTCATGGTAAGTCCTGCTAAATATAAATATTTCACGCGGCTGGAGTGAAACGTGCTTCCCTTTTTGTAAATAAGGCAAACGTGACATATAGCCGAAGAACTTATAGTAATAAAAATCATAGTGAGTGTATGCATGCGTATAGGCATTCGTGTATTTGTGTGCCCGGATTACCAAGGTTCAATGTCTAGAGTACAACGTGGAATTATCTGAGACAATTTAATTTATACTCGGATATACTTTTCAGTCGAGGCAGATCTCTTAAGTCTTAGTGACGAAATGGAAATTTCTGTATATAATCTTAGACCACGGGAACTTTCCGCCATCTTTTCGCCTTGATGGGCCACGGCAAGAAACTTTTGGTTCAAAGGATTAACAGAGAAACGTTAGCGCGGCATTTTAATTTAAATCTATATAGGGTAGGCTTGCCACGCCCTGGGTTCTATATCAAAATCTGCGGCAATAGGAAGAGGGTGAAAATCGAACTTCCCTACAGAGTATTCCTTCGCTATCACAGTGTCTTCAACAGACATGTAACGTCCTCCTAAATACTGGTTCCTAAAGCTAAGAAATATATATATATATATATATATATATATATATATATATATATATATATATATATATATATATATCTGTGTGTGTATTCCTATTTACACATATCGTCAAATGTGACAGAATGTTTGAACTAGAACATTATATTATTTATTGATATTTCTGGCTTTAAACTGTAAATGCATGACAAAAAAAAGATAACTTGACAGTTCAAGAGATCGGATTCCTTACTAAATTAAAGATATTAGATAATGAAAAGTAGATGTCATATTACACACGCATTAACTAATATATATTAGAATTTATATATATAACAAGTATATAATTGGTATATGCGGAATGAATTCTAATAACCAACAATTACTATTCTTAAAAGAGTGCTCAATACAAAGTAGAGCAGATATAATTATTATTTATAAAAAAATATAACATAAGTATGCTGTAAAATCACTACAAAAATAGCCATTTTGTTTCAACACACTCGGTGTCTTATCAAGTGATGATGTTGAAGATAAAATATATGTGTGTGTATTTGTGTGTGTGTGTGTGTGTGATTCAATGTATATATATATATATATATATATATATATATATATATATATATATATATATATATATAATATATATATATATATATATATATATATATATATATATATATATATATATTAGGTTGGTTAAAATAATGTCGTTTTTGACATTAAGTTGAACGTCAGAAAACGACAGTATTTTTTGCAACTAACCTTATATATATATATATATATATATATATATATATATATATATATATATATATATATTATTATATATGTGTGTGTGTGATTCAATGTGATTATATATATATATATATACATATATATATATATATATATATATATATATATATATATATATATATATATGTGTGTGTGTGTGTGTGTGTGTGTGTGTGTGTGTTTTGGGTGATTTAGTTGGTTGGTTTTTACGTCTTAATGTTTTGTGGGTAATCTGAAGCCAGTAATTTTGATTTTATTAAATTGTACATTTTTGGGGATATAATAATTATTTCCTAATATGAATCCTACTAATTAATCCATAGATGGAGGGAGAGAAGTTATGGATTCATACCTTTCGCGTTAACGAAACCGATTAGATAGGAACACGGTTAACCAATTTTCAATTCCTAGCCGTTATACAAGACACCATCTGCACATTTTAATTTACAGCACCTGGCATTCCCAAGGAGTCACCCATCTAGGTACTGACCAGGTTAGATGTTGCTTAACTTCGGTGATCGTACGAGAACCGGTGTTTCAATATGGTAGGACCGTAAGGCTTTATAAATGTGTGTGTGCGCGCGCGTGTGTGTTCGTGTGTGTGTGTGTGTGTGTGTGTGTGTGTGTGTGTGTGTGTGTGTGTGTGTGTGAGCGTGTGTACACATATAATTTGTTTATTGAAAGCATTCACAGATAGAAGTAACTGTATTCTGCAGTCTTCAACTTCTGAACGCTTACTTAGAGGTTGTCGTTAATTGCTACGCTCTCTCAAATTTGACTTTCAAAATGCAAAGATACGGAATTGATTAAATAAAACATTAAAAGAAACGCTTCTTAAAATACACTTAATCCTTTCTTTTCATTTGTCACCCACAGTCCTGATAATTACTTGTGTGGCTCGAGTTACTGAACGATCCAATATGCATGTTTGTTATTTGATACGTAAACAACAACCATATTTTCGAAACCTAATTCGCATGCTATATCAAATGATCAATATATATACATATAACGTTGTGTAGGTAATCTGAAGCCAGTAATTTTGATTTTATTAAATTGTACAATTTTTTTTGATATAATAATTATTTCCTAATACGAGCCCTACTTATTTAATATATGAGATTAAAACAAAAACGTTAACAATAACTACACAATAGCTTTCATGTTTCATTACTCAAAATTTGTTTCCTCACGCTTTAGTAAATAACTGCCTCACCAGTTATTTACTATTGTCTGAGGAAGTGCATTTTTTTGTGCTGAAACATGAAAGCTATTGTGTAGGGATTCTTTTACATATTTTTGTGTTAAACTCATATAATAAATAATATTAAGCTCTACTCTGTAATGATTTTCTTTTTTTTTAAATTAAATACTACAGACAGTGGATTTATACTCCATGTTCCAAGTGCCACACACACCAGGTCTCTGAATTCGGCCCTTCAGAAAGTGTGGATGGTCCTGCACGAAACCTTCACCACTATAATCAATTCTCATGTGCTGTTGTCGGTCTGTCGGTTTCCTGGGAACTGATCTGCTTGACCCTCATACATCGAACTCGACGGGAGAGTCGACTACGACTATATATATATATATATATATATATATATATATATGTGTGTGTGTGTGTGTGTGTGTGTGTACATATGTATTAGATTTACATATGGCACAAGAGCGAAAGTATGGCGCATCCAGTGCGGATCGAATTTACTACTTGCTCGTAAATGATAAATGATCTACCGAAAAAACTTGATAACAATTACACCACATCGCAATAAAAATATAAATATATATATATATATATATATATATATATATATATATATATATATATATATATATATATATATATATATATATATATATATATATATATATATATATATGTATATATATATATATATATATATATATATATGTGTGTGTGTGTGTGTGTGTGTGTGTGTGTGTAGGTCTGATTGTCGCCTAAATTAAGCAAAAATGAAAATAAAACTGCCATCTCATGTTAACAGATCCAATTACAAAAATTACACAAAGTTATCTTGAAATACGAAAGAGTAAATTTATTGAACAGAATCGCCATTGGCTTTAACGACATCCTCTAGATGAGTTCGGAATCTCCTGCAACTCTTCTGGACGATTTCCATGTTGGTGTTATGCTGCCATAATCCTTGCCTTCTGTTCATCTTTAGTGTTACAAGGAGTTTTGTTGGTCACTCGTTCAACTGCGTACCTCACATAATATTCAAAAAGTGTGCTGTCTGGTGAGTTATCTGACCAGATGAAAGGGGTCATGTGGTCTCAAAAATTGTCTGACAATCATGATTGGGATCTCCTGCTTATGCGGCATTTTGCAAATTCTGTGGCCGGACACAAGGTCTTCCAGTATCTACCATCTTGGCCCAGGCAGCAATATCTCCTTAAAGCATTTGATGTAGGCTTCTCTATTGCATTTGAGAGATTGTGAATGTAAGTATAACATCGACATCAGTACTGAACACATGAAACATATTCGTAATCACCAATAGATTCATCCAACACTTTACGAATCCTCTGCACTGCCCTCAGATTGACACCCAAACATTCTGAAATGTTCTTATTGAAGCTTCCGGCGCGAATGTCAAGCGGTACAGCATGCCATTTCCAAATTTCTGGCGAAGTGAATTGCGTCATGTCGTTCTTTTTCTCAAAGACGGTGCCAAACTATACTGTGAAATCGGCAAAATCAAAGACAGACAAAGTACATGAGCGAAATTAAAATATAAAATAGCGGCAATTTATCTACCTCACCTTGCGTGCCTGTATATATATATATATATATATATATATATATATATATATATATATATATATATATAATGGTTATTCAGAAAATCCTTATGCCCTTTATATTTTATTAACAGACATTATTAACATCTCGAATTAAGAAATACACGTTCCTCAGTTGGTGAATCCATATTGAAGTGAAATCTGAAATATAAAAATATTATTAGAAAAGTTTAAAATAACTTTTGCACACCCAATGTAATATAAATATATATATATATATATATATATATATATATATATATATATATATATATATGTTACTTCATCTATAGCAGAATTATTTCAGGCAGAATGCAATTGTAAAGTTTGAAAACTGGTCGTTGCAAAATATCATATATCGAGTGGTGTTTTATTAATGCCAGCATTCAATGTGTGATTCAATGTTTGATTATATATATATATATATATATATATATATATATATATATATATATATATATATATATATATATATATATGTATGTATGAGGAATATGATATGTTAATTTCAATATATTAGAAAAAATTAGATAACAGAATGATAATAATTATGTATAATCCCATTAGTAAAACATTACATATGAAATGCAAAATGTATTGAGGCATCACGAAATTAATCCAAGTTACAGTTGGACTGAACACTTACATGAAATGCTCAAAATGGTGACCTCTAGCTTCCATACATTTAATAGTACGGCCATCTCCTGCTTGGAAAACCTTGACCAAAGTGCACGGTGGGAATGCTACACATTCATTTTCAATTTCCTGTATAATGGCCGCCCTAATTCGTACTACATTAAACAGTGTCATCGCAATTTGATAAAACTTCAAAAAACATTTTTTTCCTCTTGCTGAAGTGTGTATACTTTTTTGTGCGGACTCTATATATATATATTAATCCCCATGCAATCTTGATACCTATACCTACACTGTTTATAACTATAATTTATTTATCTCTGATGCTAATCACTAAAGGAAATAAAGAAAAAGTATATCGATAAGAGTAGGGACATAAGGCAATTATGAATACGAATAAAATATTCTTGACATTCTAGACATGTTCACATACATACACTTACACACTCACCACAACACACATACATACAAATAAGAACAAAAAACTTTAATGTTATTTTTATAACACGAATAAACAGCGCATAATTTATTTTATTAAATTAATAGAAAAATTCCGAAAATTAGAAATTCGGCAGAAAATTGCTGATTCCTTCTAATGAGTGGACCGAATTATTACAGGAAGTTCTTCTCCGAAACTCTAGTATCGGGATGTTGAATATAGCATCAATCAGATGAATGATTTTTCTTATTAATATATACATATTTTATGGAAAAAGCAGAGGAAAGCCACATCTTGACGGCGAGAAAGTGACTGGTGACAAGATGTCTAGTTAGGATTTTTTTTTTAATTTGGTTATTTCTCTGGATTTTGTTAATAATCTCGAAATACACAGTAGGAGCACCGCACCAGCTATGGCAACATTATTAAATACGGACGAATGACTGATTTGTAAATATGTAAGATGGATTCTGACTAGAAAATATTTAGGCGCGACACATTGCGCTAATGCTACTTCCCGCAAATGTAGCAACTCACTCGATAGAGTCGTATGTTATTTTAAAACAGTCCACTAGCTGTTATTGATTTATTTAAGCTATAGATGAGAATGTTTTTCAATGATTTTATTTAAAGTGGTATAGAAAGGTACTATTTTGATTAGAATATTATTTAATACTCTAGTTACATGTATCACTAAGAATAATGAGACCATCAGGTATAAAATTCAGTGATCAAATAAAAACGTTGTGTTGCCTGTCTATATATTCAAACCTACCACAATATGCATAATAATACTAATGATGTCGATGTACTTCTGTATAATTAAATGCGAATATCCGTGTGTCACACTTTTTCAAATTTACTCCTTGAGGTGGTAGCCCAACATATAATTTTGGAATGAGGATGATTCTGTGAGCAAATTAAAAACATTCTGGCCTGGAATCGGACACGCAATCCTGACATTTTGGATTCCCAAGTTTTCATTATTGCGATTTATTTCGGCGATATTTTTACGTAATTTTTTTACGACGATTTTTTTTTTGTACGATAACAATTTTTTTTTTAATTTGGAATTAATTTCGGGAATTATTGAAATTAATTACAAAATCCAGTGAAAGTCACACATGAAATAAAAAATAAATGTTCGTACAGAAAGTAAGAGGATCAAACTGTCTTTAAATTAAGTGGCGGAAGAAGAATTATCGTTGAACTTTTAAAAGGTAATCTTGAATATTAATGCAATACTTAAATACAAAGATCAATTTTGAATTCGTCTCTAGTTCAGTGTTCCCTATCGCATACAGCAACACAAAAAGAAATCTCCGCCAACAGAGGACCATACTGTAATCAAAAGATCCAAAGCTGCAGCGAGGAAAAGGAAGTCACGTCCAAATGAAAATCCAAATCAAATTGCAGCAAAAAGAGAGCTTTTAGTGCTGAGTAATATGCAGAGACTTAGGAACTCTCAGACATCTAAGGCCTAATCAAGAGCACTCCGCAGGACCTAGCTTAAATGTTGCCCGATCCGGCAGCTTTTAAGATAGTCCATTTTCATTTTCATCAATTTAAATTAAATACTTAAATTTAAAATAACAATCAACAAGTTATTTCATCAGGTGACATGCTTGATGCCTACATGAGCGATTATGGCTCTTTTCGATTCATGATTGATTTGG